CTACTCTCTCATCTCCCACCTGATTCTATTGCAAAATTCTGTTCGATAAAGCAGGCATCGTCCTCTAAATGGTATCACACGTGATACAGCTTGCCTCAGGTGGTCATTTGCGATCTCATTCTTCAGGCTTTGAATCTAGGCTCGTGAGGTACTAGGCGAAACGGTAGGCCATTCCGTCGGTCTCTCTACTTGGATTGCCTGCATCATTTTTCATTATCAGATGTTTCCTTCACCTCAACCTCATCCTTGAGGCGTTGCAATGCGCTCGACCCTTGGAAAGGCATAACACTTCATCGACAATACATTCTTGCCTAAAATACAATAGTCTTTCTATTTTAATTTGAAATTATCGCCCATGAGTAAAGGCAATTGCCTGATTTCCTTTTTCAGGGTAGACTTTTCTCTTTTGTCGTTTTAAAATTTATTCCAATGAGCACTTTGAAAATTGTTAAAAATGTGTCATTACTTTTGTTTTGTTTCGGAACATTTTTTCACATGCCTTCTTAGCTGGGTCAAGGGTGGCGGAATTCGGAGAGACCCTTTAGCCAGTTTTTCCTGGAATATATGACCAACTTCTTCCTGACTCTTTCGACGAGACTAAGGCCGAGTTCATACTCGTGCTTTACGGCATGTTGGATGCTGCAACTGCATACTTTGCTCAAAAATCCAACGGACGTTGACATTGAGTTTTTGACCATAGTATCTAGTTTCAACATCCAACATGCTGTACAGCACGAGTACGAACTCGGCCTTAGTTAAAGCAATCCCTGAGCACAATATTAAAAATCCTTACGCTCAGTTCATCTCATTGACTCCGCAACTCCCTCTCGTCCTTGTGTTTTGCTCGTCCGTCTGATTCGAAGGTTTTTCAGGCCCCCATCAATCTCTGTTCTCGATCGTGCGTGTCTTTGTGCTGTAAATCGAAAACTCATTTTAGCGTCGATACACTGGCTCTCCAGGAAGAAACGTTCGAAAAGACAGCAAGGAGACTCGAAAGGGCCTGGTCCCCCAGGAGGAGCGAAATGTCCCATGGCAGACACAGGGAGGATCAAGATAATAAGTAACATTTCCGCAAATTTGTTTAGCATCGAATAAGACTATTAGCAGTTCGGTATCAGGGTTGCGAAAACTCTTCCAAGGCCACATTGTGCGAATGTGAAACAGTTATCTGCAGGAACTGCTACGAAGAAGAAATATGGATGCCGTTAGGATGCTGAAAATCATAATTTTCTTTCATTAATTCCTATTCATTATAAAATGTTATCAATAATATAATTTAGCTTATATTTAATCAATTCCCAGATATGATTTGGGCACCTAAAGGCAACCTCATCGTTTTAATCAAATTTGGGGACTGATCGTGTCTATTGCTTAGCTGCGCCTGAACTGTAACGATCAACTTTCTTCTTTTTATTTTATTTTATGATAAAAAGAAATATTTTCTGAAGGGAGGGTTCATCAATAAAGGCAACGGCATAGTATCAGGGAGGAGGGGTGGGGGGGGGACGGCACGTGGCCCCCCCCCCCCCCCCCCCCCCCCCCCCCCTGAATATGAAGGAAGGAAGGGGGGGGGGGGGGGTTAGGGCGGGTGTTCGAGATGGCCTCTCAAGCAGCAGCACTCAAATACAAACAAGTTTGAGGGACGCCAGTTAAGGCAAAACTGCTTAGAATGCGAAGACCTAAGTCGCAGTCCGTTCGGGTCTTACGATTACATTATAACTGGGTCTAGCTTAGGATACCGATCTCATAGGGGCCTAGCTTCCAGCCGAGTTACGCCTATACAGACAAAAATACGGGTTTTGCCTTGCCAAAGTCGTATAAAGCAGTAGAAGACACAGTCGCTTGAAGGCTCCCTCCATTCTCTCCAATCCTAAGATGGCGGACGGATTGGACCGTCCGCCCTGTCTCATGCTCGCTCCAGATATATACGCTCTATGGTTCACACCAACCGCATAACACAGCATGACTGACAAAAAATAGCACAGCGCCTAAAGAGTCTTGTTCACACTGGCGTCGCGCTCTGCGGTTCTTGTCATCAATAAGGCGCATCAGGTAGGCTTCTAGGCAGTGCGCAGAGTGAAGTCCGAGTAGACCCTGCATGGTAGAATATTGTTATTCCCCGTTATGGATGTTAATGGCCTGCTTTTGACATCCCCTTTGGGCTTCAGTTATAAGGAGTTCCTCCATCCAAACCGCCACGATAAGTTTGACGACACATCTCTGCTCTGATTGGCTGAGCATGGGTTCCTAGTGCGCACTGTTGAATCCAGTTCGATTCTTCGCACAGACCCTAGAGCCCCGGTTTTAACCACACAAAGGCACTTGTGCTACGTAATGTCGCCCTATGCTATTTTATGCGGTTGGTGTGAACGCACCTTTAGGTTCGAATGCACCAGTCTCATTTGGGGGAGATAATAGAGCCTCTAAGCTCAAGAGCTCTTTTTCTCCCATAGGAGTCCATGTATTCCTGGAGGACCGTTAATAAAAGCATTCGGGCCTTAACCCCTTGACCACGGGATTGACCGAGCCAGCCCAGCATCCCAACGGTATTGTTCCAGCCTCAGCCAAGCGCTAAGTTCCACGACGTAAATATATGTCATCCGTAGGAAGGTATAGAGAAACAGTTATGAAGAACGAAAAACAGGGAGATCTATGATTTTCATCATAGCTCTACAACTTTGAAAATCGAGATAAATTGTGTATATATACGTCATCCGTAGGAAAGGGGTTAAGGGGTCACGGCTACTCATGCCTTCACCGCGTGACCAAATTTCAATTCCAAAATTCGCAATAAAAATGGCAAATTTGGTCCAAATTCGCCACAAACTAAGCCTGCATCTTGTCCATATCTATCTGCCAGTCAATTTTCGCAGGAGATCCACTATGAAATGGGACGTAGGTGTCCATATGGAGAGCATGGCAAATGAAGGACTCCCGACTTTAAACCGAAAAATCTCTGCCGCGACTGCTGCTACTTTCGCGAAACTTGTACCGTATGTATTCTGATACGTTCACGTGAGACTTGCAAATTTTCAATAAAATTCAAGATGCCCGTTATTCACAGTAAGGCTAGGAGGAATTATAAAAAATAAGTTGGATGTTGAAAATGGAGGTGATGCCGGAAGTTGAGAGGAGGAAGAGCCCGAGTGCTCTGGAATCTAATATCTCGGCAGGGGTTCCAATCCACCTGTCCTTTTTCTATTAACAATTCATTTTCGATCATCGTCCATAGCCTTGCGGAACGAGTTGGCACGAAAATTCAAAAGGGGTGTCGGAAACGTATCGGTCGATGCGTGAATTTCGTGAAGATAGCTTCTACCTGAGCGGAGTCGTAAAGGCAAAAGTACGGCATCTTTATTGCCATAACATGATCGAATCTGGTGAGTCGGTAATACAGAACGATGACAGAGATTTTCAATTTTTATCGTTGTCTTCGTTAAACTGCACTCAGACGATGTACGTTTCGAGAAATATGACATTTTCCAAGAAATTGGCCATACAAATATTAAGGAATCGGATTGAACGTCACGGCATGAAAGAGATATTATCGTGCGATCCAATGACTCGATTTATGGAGTACAGGAGGCCCATACCTGATTCTCTATACTACAGGGTGGCCCCAAAAATTGTTCCATCGGTTCCGACCCTTCGACATTTCCAAGTACATTAAAATGAACTTTTTATGCTCGCATCACATGTACTCTTTGCCGTTCCGATAGGATCGATTTTATTAAGATCGATCACATGGCCGGGAAGCAGTTGATTTTTTAAGGTGATTTTGGGATGAACCTCGACTTGGTAGAATTCGATGTGGATCTCAGTGGGCCCTCGTTCTAACCGCTCTCTGGTCAAAGACTGGAATGTTCGCCATTCCGCGTAGCAAGTTACGTCTGGTGCTCTTTGTCGCTTTCTTAAAGTCACCATTGCCATTCTTCACGATCGGAATAAAGTGGCCCTTAGTCTGGAAAAAAGCTCCTCAGGCGAATATGTGTGCGCTCCAATCGTGGGTGATTCGGGTCGTGCCGATCGATGCGAATCGCAGTATCGTTAGATATTGTTTATGCATAAAGCGATATCGTTTTCGGTCTCGTGCTGCCCCTTCCTGATTTCTCCTAAATGCGTACAAGGCGGATCGCAGATAGAAAAACGACGCGATCGAAGTGGGAAAATTAGACCTGGCAGTTTTCATCACGGAAAGCCGATTCCCTGAATCATTTACTTGCTGCCTGCTGGCATCGTAAGAACTGCGATGATAGGGGATGGTTTAAGGGACGAGTTGACAAAACCCTTACGGTAATGTAGACCCTTACGATCCCTCATCGTAAGCTTTAGCCTGTACTTGATGGCAAAAGCAGAAGAAAAGTCGGAGTCTATCCCTCATTTCATTTTGGGTTCAGAGTGTTCTCAACTTCTGACTCGTGTCCCTCTTCCCCTTCGTCTTTTCTTCATTATCTCGCTCCCAAAAAGTTCACGATACGAACGAACGTCGATCTTTCTCGTCGGTGGTTAGGAACGGTAGGTGGAGATATTCGTAGAGTCTGTTGGCAGTATGGTATACGATGAAAGTACCCAAACAGCATGTTTGTTAATTTTACGCAAAATGAATTCAAATTTTTTGCGATACGTAAACGGTGATATAAAATTAACGTAAATTTTACGTAAAATTGACATTGCAACTGCAGGATGGTCAGCTAAAGTTTCATATGGATGGTATGGTGTTAATTTTGCATAAACTTGGTATCATGTACTTCACATCAGATGGAGTTTATATAAAATGCACGTACACTTAGGGGACGTAAATATAGGAACGTAAATTTTACGTAAACGTGATGTCATTTTCATTGCAATCGCAAGAAATTTACATTGTTTCCAAAAAATTGATATCTTGTTTACGTAAACATGCTGCTTGGGTAGTATAGGCTGCTTGCAGCTTGCTCCCGAAAATCGATGCAGATTTAGAAGTGAGACGTCACCGATGAGATTGAGAAGACTTTATTGGATGAAAAAACAAATGAGATAGACACAAAACGAGGAACTGCGTATCGATCGAACCTACGATCGACTTCATCTATAGGCGTCTTGTCTCCGACAGGCATGTGGACATGGGGCAAGAGAAAAAGGCATCGAATGGATATGTTCTGATCCGAAAGGATGGAAAGAAGAAAGGTGCTTGCATCGTGGAGAGCCCAGATCGTCGAGGAATGTGGAAGGCCTTACTTCTTGGCTCAAATCCTAGAATGGACGGCATGCACGGGGTGCGCATGCATAGAAAAACGTGGAAGAGGGAGAATGGAAAAAGACGACTATCCGAAGACGAAAGGAGGAAACGCGTCGCGACGTCGAGGGAACACGGCGAGTGATGACTAATGAGTGATGAGAGCACCCAGGGGTGGGAGGGCAAAGAAAGTTCTATCACAGCGATGCGCGGTAGCGGTTGAATCTCGGTCGCGGTCTCAGATACCTTTATAGCGGATGAAGAAGAAGGCAAGAAAAAATGAATATGCGACGGGAAAAATGATGCGAGAGATGACGTCAATGGTCTTGGCGATGCGGATGGGATGAGGAGGGGGTCTCTTCCCATTTCCCTCCGTCCCTCTTCTACTCCTGCGCCTCCTCTTTTCGCTACCACCCTCCAGGGTCACTACGTCCGCCTCCCCTCCTCCCGTTCCACCTTCGGTCAGGTGCGCGGAATTCAATCGAGCGCTTTCCTCTCCTCCGGCGCTTCCTTTTTCTTCTCCAGCTTCCCCTTCTGCTGTTGCTCCTCCTCTTCCGTCTCCCTTTCGATTCTGACCCACCTGAGAAGAGACAGAGGGTGAAAAAGAGAGCGTTTTTCAGAGCGTAACGCCACGACGACTATCTTACGTAGAACCGAACTGCAATAACGGTATCCTCACACTGGCTACACGCTATATCGATCTCACTCATCCACTCATTCCGACGCACCAAAACGAAAAAAAAAAAAACATTAAAACGCCGGTGGTCTTCGGAGGAATTTGGGAAGCCTGGCAAGGATGGGGGGGGGGGGGGGGGG